CTTTTCTTTTGGCTAAAAAATCAATGAACCTATATCAACGTTTCTCATTCAATTTGTTTGTGAGTTTTCAAAAAAAAAAAAATCTAAAAAATTTTAGAAATTAGTTTGGTAAGAATAAGCCTGATTATTTTTATATGATTTTCCTTTCACTACAGGAAATTTGACTTTTAGCGGCGTGTCAAAAACGCCGCTATATGATTGAAAAATGCTGCAATAAGTTTTTGCAACGTTTAATATTTTCGTCATAGATACGGCCGCCGCAATAGCTTAGCAACGTTTCAAAAGCGTCGCTAAAAACATTAGACGGCGTTTTTCAAAACGTCGCAAAATCTTTAATAGCCATCTACTTTTCCGTCACAATTAATATATGATGTAATGATGACGTCATTCAGTGGCGTTTATCTTTTTTCATTTTTAATACTTACCTCAGATGTGATGTCATGATGACAACATTTAGTGACATTTTTTTCAAAAACGCCATTTTTTTTGTTTTGATTTTTTTTAAGAATACAGCCCAATTAATTGAGAATTTAACTAAGAATAGAGATTGAGATTGAGAATTAACTGAGAATTTATATAAATTTAACTAGGAACAGCGACTGAGAATTAACTGATAATTAATATAAAATAAAACAAATTGGCTCAAATTTAAATTACAATGCCAAATTGAAAACCATAAAAATTCTAGTTTATCTCCTTAGATATTTAACCCTACAACTTTCCAAATCTCAATCATATACTATTAAACAGTTTGAATTTTCTTCAAATCACCCCCTCATTTTTGTTATTTAGTGCAAATCTTCAAATCTTTACTTTGCAACCAACAGAAGTTAGTTTGTTGACACTATAACAGCCTGTTAAAAAAAAAATGAAAATGTCAGCACACCCGATCAACGGATAAACAAACTTACAAAAAAAAAAAAAAAGGCAACACTTACTTGCACCAGTTCAATTATAAATCCTGCACCCAAATTTGCAAATTCAGATCCAGAGAGAAAAAATAGTCAGGAAGATTATACAAGTTACTCATTCATGGGCCAACGCTTATTTAAGGAACAAGCTGGCCAATTTTAGAAATTACACTGCAGATTGGAACATCACCATTGCTGCATCTGATAATCTATGATCAATTAGAATAAACCTTTAGATCATCTATTTTAATATGTTGTCCAAAATATGAAATCAACTCAAATGTTTTAGTATTCTGATACTATAGACACCCCATTTTTGACCGTCCTCAAGACTTGGACGTCACCGTTCGAACACTCGGTGATCATCCATGTTTGTGTTCGTTTGGAGTTCCCGGAGCTCTCGGCTTCGCGCCTTGCCTCAGAATCTCCGAACTCGACCGTTTAGTGTCTGGTTTTGCACCAAACACTGGCATCTTGCCTTTGAGAGGCAGGGTAGGGCTTGTGGACCATCCCCACCCATCACCAGCAGTGGCTAGAGGCCACCGGCTGGTTTTTGCTGCCACCGGCAATGTTTATTGCCAGCCGGCACTATTTGTTGCCGATCAGCACTTTTTAGTTCCGGTCAACACTCTTTTTGGCCAAGATGGCATTTTTGGCCGGCCGACTACTGTGCATCTGCTTTTGCAGATATTTTTAGACAGCTGTCTTGCTTTTGCTCCCCTCCATACACGTGTATGGAGGGATCTCCCTCTTATGAAGCTTGTCTTGTAAGCTTTACAAGACAAAGGCTTCTATATAGAGAGGGGCTCTCTCTTGTTGCTAAGGTTAGAGACTTGAGACACTTGAGAGAGCTTAGACAGCCATTGTTAGGGTTTGAGTTCTAGGGTTAGGGTTAGATACACATCCTACCTATCTTTCCCTCTCTTTTGTGCTCTAGGTGTTTTGTGTCTTACCATTGCACACAAACACCTAGTGTTTCACCTTTGTCTAGCTACTAAGGTTCTAAGGGCTTGTTCTTGAGTTTCTTGACTGGTTTGGAGCCCAAGGAAGCAACAAGGTCACCATTGTTGAAGAGGACTACAAGGGTGAGAATCTAATCCCTTTATTCCCCATTTTTGCACCTTGTTTCTACCTGTCTTAAACTCGTTTTTGAGCTTGGTGTATAATACAAAAAAGTTCTGTTTTTAGACCCTCTTGGTTGTTTATTAAGGGTGTTTTGTGGTTTAGAGGTGTTTGACCCCTCTTAGGCCTTAAAAGGCCTCATTTTGTGCTATTTTGTGCAAGCTTCGGGACTTTGGTGTTTGGGCCTCTTCACTACTAAAATCTTGAGGGATTTCAGTGGGGAAGATGGTGCCTTGAAGTCTCTAGAAGGAGAGGGCCACCCCCTCTCCTTGTTGTCCTTGAAAAGGGCATGTTTTGGCCTCTAAAGGAAGCCTATGTTTGAGTGTGTGTTGAGCATGTATAGGCTGTTTTTCATGCTTATATATCCATAATATAACATGATTATAAATTGGTTTTGGTACTCCATGCATGCTTAGCATAGTTGCCTTGTAATGCCATGTTTATGCCTTAATATGCCTTAGGTTGTTAGCCCTTATTCAAGCATGTTTTAGGCTTACATTTGTGAAGATTTTGTGCATATTTTGCCATGTTCTAGGTCTGTCCTAGGTTGTTTGGGTCGAATTTGGCATGCATCATATAGCCCCTTTGCATTCCGGCTTGTTGGCTTTAAGTATGTGAATGTATAGCATGCCATTCTTGCATTGTTTTGGTGATTTGGGGCCACCCTATATGTCATTTCAGTCTCATTTCCATGCTTGTTTGATTGCCTTGCATGCCTCTTTAATGCTTTGGAAGCATGTGTTGCATGCTCCATGTTTGGCCATTGTGCATGCCTTTGAGATTGAGCCACTTAGATGCCATCTAAGTAGTCCCTTGGCCTTGTTTTAACATGCTAAAAACCTGTTTTTAGTTGTTTAATGCATGCCATGGTTGTTGTGCTAAATGTGCGTCAAAGCTTCATGACTTGTCCCAAGTAATTGGACCATGCTTACATGCATTTGCTTATCTTGTTCAACATGATTTGGCATCATTTTATAACATGATTTTCAATGCTTATGTTGCATACTATTTTGTCCATGATTGCCCCTTTCAAGTGTGCTTGAGGGTTGTCTAATTTGTGCCTAAGTGTTGGGCCTTAACATGTGTATGTGTGCATGTGTGTTTAGCCTCCATCTTTGGGCATTTTAGCCACTGTTTTGGGCCTTATTAGAGCCGCCCAAATCATGCATAAGACCACCATTCCATTGGTTAGCATTGCCTCATGTTTGCTTGTATGCTTGCATAAGTGTCTTGCCATGCCATGTTGCATCCTTAGCTTGTATGCCTAGGTTGCATTGCATCTTGCATGCATGCCTTGTTCCTTGACTTGGTGATAGGAATTGGGCCTTGTTTTGCTTGATTGGTTTGCATTTCATTTGACATGAATATTGCATACTTGGTTCCTTGGGCCATCCTGCATGGGAATGCGTGATTGGTGGTCCGAGAATCGAGGCACATGCCCCCTTTGAGTCATTACCATGATAAGGGACAAGGTTGGTGCATACATGCCTTGAATTGTGCTGCCATGCTTTGCCTTGCCCTCTGTTGCTGTCATTTGCAGATTCTGCAGGAACACTCTGCCGACCGGCAGTGTAAAATGCCGACCGGCAATATTTTCACTGCCGACAGCTTCATTTTGTGCCGGTGGCAATTCCATGCAGCCGGTGATGTCTCCCAGCATCCAAGGATGCAGTCCTGAGGTTTTGGCAGCCTCCAGAGAAGTGAAGGAAGGAAAACAGAGGCAGCCTATGCATGGCGACGCGTTTCCCGAGGCGATTTTCCTGTTTTCTTAGCTTAAGTTATTTTGCTTAGTAGATTAGGCAATTTGTAATATTTAATTAGCTTGCGTAGTTAATTAATTTGTAATATTTATTCGGTCCCTCCGAGTGAGGGCAAATCTGTAATAAGTGTGGGTGCGTGTGTGTGCATGTCTTCCAACCCCCACTTCTTTCTTCCCTTTTACTTACCTGCTTTGATGGTTAGTATTAAGGCACGTTTAATTTAGCATACCTTATGCTATGCATGCGTGCATTCATGCATTTGTAGTGCGTGCATTAGGCTCGGTACATCACGCTAACTGCATTTGTATTTCAATTCTAAATTGAATACGTGCATCAATTGATCGCATTTCATATGCCATGCTTAGGTTAGCCGAGACTACTTCGATTGCATCCTGTGTGTGTTGCATTAGCCACATTAACATGAACTAGGACACGCATGTTTTGCTAACTAGTTTACTGTTTTGGCACGGAGTACGATGTAAGTATTCATGCTTTAGCATCCCACATGCGTGTGAATGTTGCCATAATAGTATGATTGCCATGCGGCTAAATGCTTACGTGAGATAAACTGTTGAATGCCCGTGGGTGGAGGTTGGATTGTTTGAGTTGGGAAAATTTGTTGAAATCCGTATTTTAGCCTACTTGCGAGTAGCAAATTCCAAAGCATTTTCAAAACAAACGGATATGCAATGCTTATTTCCAAATTGGGCAATCTAGTCTATACTTGTTTGCTGCGCGCATAACATAGTAATTCTAGGCTAATAACCGGAATAAGAACACATAGCGTTTTCAAAAACGGATATCACGGTTAGTGGAGGCCGGTCTTCGGACCGGGCGAAAGGGGGTGCTCATAGCTGACCTTCCCCGATCGTACCCAAGCTCTCGAGCCGAGACAACTCCGGTGATGACGGACATGTGGCCTTCGGCACCGAGTCAGGGTTTCCTAAATTCTCCCATTTTAAAATATTTAGGTGGCGACTCTGTATCTGGCAAAGCAGTCCATGTCTGGTACTACTTTTCAAAAAATCAGTTTCTCAAAACGATTTGCCGGATTTGGACTCTTTGGTTCAGATTAAGAACCGTGACACAAATCGAGTCCGAACTGTAGTGAGGCCCATGCGGGCGCGTCTACAGATACTATAAATTTCCTCTGGACCATTTACCATGATTTCAAGGACTGCTCAAAATTAGGCACTTTGTCAAACAAAAATTGTAACAAAATTAACACTTCTTAGAAATTAACCACAGTAGAGATGATGAAATACAATATTATTCCACCTCAACAACTTTAATTTTAAGAATAAAACTTACAACAAAAAAAGGCCTCTTTCATTGAGTTTGTCCTATCTACTTCTTCTTTTTCTTTCCTTTCTTTGATATTTGAACCAACATTTGACAAGAACAAATAACATGAATAAAACATATTTAGCCTTAGCAAAGGCATTCTAAAGGCCGACTGACACTAAGAGACCATAGCTAGGGGAACAAATGGGATTAGATACTTGGAGAAATTTTCATAACAGCTTCAAAAGCTCAAGAGACACTGATAGGTCGACCTCACATAATCTTAAAACTAAAGCTAAAACCCTCTCTAGCACCAATTAGTTTTAAGAGAGACATGGTGAAAGCAATCTGTGTATTGCAGGTTACAGTCTAGGTAAGGTAAAATAAAGAATGTAAGAGAGAGATTGGAAATGCATGTTAGGACTAGGAGCCAAAACAGACCTCTAGATCATGGCATTCCTCAAGAAGTCATCGAATCACGACATTCCTCAAGAAGTCATTGAACCACAACCAGGCAAAGCTCTTTTGAACAAGCTGTAGTGATTAAACTAAAAAGTTTAAACCTCTGTTATTTTTTCAAGTGCTCTGAAAGCTTCGAATGGTAAACCAGAAAGAGAAATTAATTGCACATATTAACAGTATTAGATAAACTACCTTGTTGTATGGAGAGTGAAACACAAAATAGTCAGAATCATTAATTGAAAACTACCTTTCATAATTGTGAAATATTGCACAAAATACTGAGTTTTAATGAAAATTGACAGAAGTTCAGGGAGAATTACCGGATATTCACTTGCACGGTTGGGCTTGTAAAAATCATAGGCATGCGACATATGGTTTCCCCTAAATTTGCTTTCAAATGCTATAGGAGCATCAGGCCCTATAAGCATAGCAATAGCAGCTGTTAATTATTTGATTGATTGGGATGTTGGGCTTGGAAAAAATAAGTTCCAATTCACTGGTCACAATCAAGAGAGGCATTAAAGATCCAAAGGATATAATCATACCGCACTGTCTGTGTAGACCACAAATCCATAGCGTCCATCCCATGAACGACTCTCCACCCAGTTGACACAGTTGAATAAAGCTGCAGTTCCACCAGAGCAAGCATTGGTTGAGTCAACGCCTTCGATGTCAATATTTCCAGTTTCCTGCTTGTTTCACAACACAAGAAAAGAATAAATTTGGGATAAAAAAAATCAATAGAACATGCTGAACAGCAACAAAAAAATTCATTCTACGGGAAAATTTACAGCACAAGAGCAAGACAAGCAATCCAGAAATGAATTCACTCAAACTAAAAAAACTTCTTAGTTTAATCAACCAAGGCTCAGCTTGGAGTACAAATCTGTAGAGGGGCAAGGAAGAGATGTAAACTAGAAACTGAACCCGTAACAAATTTAATCAACCAAGGCTTAGCTTAAAGTACAAATCTGTCATAACTTTCAAAGAGTATCTCGTCTACAGGTCCAAGTAGGTCTATGCCAGGCTTCAATTCCACCTCAGGGTTGTCAGTCTTTGCTTCTGTGGTAACAAAAGCAATGTATTTCCCTTTTGAAGCCACGTTGTGGGCATAGGGGCAACAGAATAGATACCTGTAGCAGAAACAAGTAAATAAAAATAGCAGGTAGCCAGAATCAGAAGTTTTTGGTAAAACAATAACATTACTCCCCCATCTTCTGACAGAACTTTAGACATCCCGCTAGATTCCTCATCCCATTTCCATCTCCAGTAAATAATAACATTGTTAGAAAACTAAACTACAGTATCAATTTAAATGGAACACCACGAAACTACTACAACCTCCTATATTATATGCAATCCAAATAATCAATTATGTGAGAACATTCCTTTTCTAATCATTCTTTGTTTGGTAAACATTTCAGATATCAGACTTTACAAGTGCATCTTGTCTCCATAACCACCACCACTAATCACCTCACTGACCCAGTTACACTGGTGAATAATATTATAGCTAACTCACCATCCGATCAGCAGCTCAAAATCGCAGAAATCATTCTGAAATGAAAGATGATGATCCTAAATTATCTGCGGTCAAGAAATTGCAGAAGCCCAAATTTAATCACCCAGGTATGATTGTTTCATTCTGCTACGGCTATATTCTTGAACATCAAAGTTATGAATGGTAACAACAAATCGTGCTTATAAAAATAGGGTGTCTATGACAAACTTACCATTCATTTCTTTTAGTGCTGCTGCAAGATCTAAAGGGTTGGCAAAACTAACAAATCCATAGCCCTTGGTTTTGCCAGTACACTTATCTTTGACAACCTATGACAATGGAAAAATGCAGGCACATATTTTGATTAATGCCCAAACGTGTAAGAAATACAAACCTTCCTCAAAATATAAGAGAAGAAGAAAAGATTAGAAGATACTACAGCAATTATAGGCATACACCACATACCAGACAAACGACATACATGAAGGCAATAATAGCACAAAGGAATAAAAGGATAATGAGATGCATAAAATGATACATGCACAGCTATGGCCCACCAATGCATTGGTTGATGGCTGATCAAATGATCTACTCATAAATACAAACACCAAGCAAGAAACAAAGGTAAATGGATACATGCAAACCAGATACAAAATAGAATGGGGAATTGCAAGACAGGAACAACAACCATGATATCACAAATGTATGGTCTCTCTTTTTCTATTAAGAGAAGGAAGCAGTATGAGAAATTGCCTACCAAAGTGTGTAATTCTCATAGAAAACCATGTGTGGACCAACTCAGGTTAATTGCTCATACAATGATTTTCGTTCTATAGCAAGTAGTAAAACAAAATTTTCAGTTCTATGTTATCATTTGATGGTAAATGGAATCGCTTATCATCAAGCAGAACAACTTTTGGAGACAATCTAAATTAGAAAATCGTTTCATGTCCCTACTAACCATGTTCATCCACATGGTCATCACTTGGAAATAAAGCAATCATTTGACACTAGCTGGAGAAGATGAGCATCTCACTTAAGATCCCTCTATTTTTCATTTAACTTATTCCATCCACAAGGGCAACAATCAGAAAATAAATTGCAAAACATGCAGCATTTGCCCAAGCCTCAAATCTGCAGTTTTCAAAGAACAACAAAACAAGCGCTGGAACAGCCGTGAGGCAGCAACAAAATGAGCAAGCAACTTTATCAACAATTAAAATTTCATTCACTAAAATAATATTGCCACACTGATGTCACAGAAGCACATTGTATAGACCATGGCTTGAGTTTTGGATTGGTTGAATTTGTATGAAAGTAAATATAAATAAATGGTGGACCAATGTGTAGCAATACATTTGGAAGAACAGATCAAAAGAATTAAAGAAGAAAAACTAATCATTATCATGATTCAACCCATTTTAAGCTCATGATCTCAAGAAAGAGCTAAAAAATTTATAAACTACAATCATACAACTTTATTTATAATAATAGAAGACCAAACACCGATTAACAGATCTAATTTGACAATGAGAAAGTAGAGATTCAAACTCGAACACTTACATGATATCGATTTTGGATTTGCGATTTGCGAACTCAAGATGGGAGCTAATAGCGAGAGAGATCGAGTTGGAGTTCAATTAGCTTCGAGATCGACGCGATTGATGAAGAACATCTATTTTTTCCCATAGGAGTACTCCAGAGATGTACTTTATGGGCAATAATCGTCAATCGCCTAGCAGAGAAGTACATCCAGAGATCGACGCGATTGATGAAGAACAGCGAAGAGAGTGAGATCTATGTGAGATCGACGATATAACGCGATTGATGAAAAATAGTGATTGATGAAGAATAGCGAACAGCGAAGACCTCGAAAGTTCGATCGCGAGAGAGAATAGCGATGTGTGACAGAGTGAGATCTTTGAGAGTGAGATCTGAGCATGATGAGAGATAACGGAGTATGAGAGTTCTAACGGTGACCCATTTGTTTGTTTGTTTGTTTTTTTTTTTTTTTTAAGTGAACCACTGAAACACGGAGGGATCTGTTATGTGGAGTAAAACGTGGCATTTTTTTAAAACGTCGTTGTATGAACGCCGTTATAACCCGTTTTTCCTGTAGTGTCTCTTTAATGAAGTGGCGATCAATCTCAACATGTTTTGTCTTGTCATGTTGAACTGGATTGTGAGCGATGTTGATGGCGGCCTTATTATCATAGTATAACCGCATAAAGTCCGTTTGATCAATACCTAGATCATTCAACAATAACTTGATCCATAAAAGTTCACACACACGTTGTGCTACTTCTATGTATCATGGTGCTACAAACCTAAGACATGTTTTGGGGAAAAAAAAGAAAAAGAAAAAGAAATACATACCTATTTTCTTTACTCGTCTCTATATATAGTAATAACAAATTGATAACCTAATTAATTGGAACACTATTTTTTCCTTAAAAGCCCCCACTTTGAGATGGGTTGTCATGTGAGTAGTTGATAATTTTTTTGGTAAATTGAGGAGGCTCTTTGTCTTATTGTTTTTTGTTTTCAATTTTGTTTTTATTTTTATTGAATTTTTTTTAATATTTTAAGCAAATGTTTCAGTTTTTAGACACACTAACATAAATACACCTAAAAAGTATCTGTTTGGTTCCATTCTGGAATCATGATTCCACTCTCATATTCCAACCCTCTATTTGATTATAGTTTTCAAAATATGACTCCAAATCACAGTTCAAAACATGTTTGAGAGTTTTTGAATTTTGGGTCTACTCGGTCGTCCGCTCAAACATCCTCCCAGGCAGTTTTTGAATTTTTGGTCTATCTGGTCGTCCGGCCGGTTGACTAAAACAATAATTTGTATGTGTGTGTGTGTATGTATGTGTGTGTGTGCAATTGCCACCTGTTATTTGAAAAAAAAAATAATTTATATTTGTTTTTGATATTCTTTAAATATAGAAATTATTTTTTAGATCAAAATGACAAATTATTTGGCCATCTATTAAAATTTAAAAAAATAAATAAAAATGAAAAATAAAAAAAAAATATTTTAAAACAACATAATTAAAAATTGCGCATTTACACGTAAGTTCTAATTTATAAACTTATACTCCATCAAGTCCTAACTAAGATTTTTTGACCTTCAAGTCCTATTAAATTTTTAATAGTTGGATTTGCCTTTTAAACAATGATTGTTCATCATTTATAATTATCTATAAAGGAACATGATAATTTGATATTTATTTTGATTTTCAAAACTTTAAAACATCAACTTTAAAATTGAAAAAACTAAAAAAAGATTATGTGTAAGAAAAAAAAAATTCATGTTTTTTTTTTGAAAAAGTTAAAAAAATTGATTTTATTTTTTTTTTTGTGAAAAATTGAAAATTTTGTGTCTATAAAGGAGCATGATGATGGAACATTGTGCAAAACTTAATAAATAAATAAATAAATAAATGAAAAAATTAATAATGTTCTCAGTTTTAAAATTGAAAAAAATTGATAATGTTCTCGATTTTATTAGGTAATTGAATCAAACCAATAAGTAGAAGGGCAAAAATATTTACTCTCATGCTCTGTTTTTTTTTTCCCATCAATTAGTAAAATAATTATCTGGAACACTACTATGCAAAATTGATAATGTTCTTAGTTTTTTAAAATTAGAAAAAAACTTGTTTAAAAAAAATAATAAATCTTAGATTGGACCTGAGCTACCATAACATTTGTAAATAGGAGTTTTAGGTAATTAACTCATTAAAAAAAATTCAAATATACAATCAACAGTAATTTTAAAGCACTAGCTGAATATTTTTTATAACAAAAAATAATATGTATTTTTTAATAGTTCAAACAAAAAATATTTTCAGAATATTTTTGCATTTTTTAAATAAAAAATTTAGTTTTTTTCATTAATTACTTTTTTGAATTGAATTTTAAAAAGAGTTTGGTTTTGAGTTTTGACTAAAATTTTCAATAGAGTTCTGAGTTGTGTGTTCGGTTATGAGTTACAAGTTTTTGAATTAAATTTGAAAAATTCTTTTCAAAACTCATAACCAAACAACTTTTCTTATTTCAAAACTCATTTCAAAATCCAATTCAAAACTCTTTTTAAAACTCATAACCAAATAAATTTTGTATTTTCAAATCATGGTTCAACAACTCACAAACTCAAAATACAACTCTATTTTCAAATCATGATTTTAAAACTAAATCAAATGCTACCTAATATTTGTAGATTTAAAAAAAAAAAAAAGAATTCGCTAAGTACCCAAAATACGAATATATATACAAATTCAATATATTTTTGTATTCCTATGGATTTATTTATTTTTAAAAATATTTCTTTATAAATATTTTACTTTTTAATTATATTTAGGTTAGATGTAGGGGTGGGCACAGATTGGTTGTGGCCATGGAATCTCAAATCTGTTATCCTTCTGCCAGATTGGCGGATTGGAGAAAATCAATCGGCATTCGTCTACCAATCCAGTGGGATGTGGATTGAGCAGATTGGTGAATGGATGCGAATTGATTTGGCGATTTAAAATTTTATAAATTTTCAACATAATTCAACTTGTGCACTTTCTCAAAAAGAAAAAAAAAAGAGCATTACAGTCAATGACCTAAAAAAGTATTACAATCACTACATGTCTCATCCAAAGAAAGAAAGTTTAAAATTTTAAAATATTACATTCACTGCATGCTTCATCCACATATTATAATCACAACATGTCTCATCCATATAAAGTATTATAATCTGTGGTTCATAAAATATAAAAACAATTCAAACCACCAAAATCATGAACAGAGTGGTAATAAAGATTGTATGTTTGTGTATTGTTACATCTATATCTATTTTTGAAAACAAAAACCAACCAGCATATATCAAATTTTTTTAATTATTTTTAAAGTTAAATTTAAAAACCAAAAAATATAGATAAATAATACATTTATTTTTTTCAATTCAAAAAATATATTCAAGATGAAAACTCTTTTTTAACAAAATATATTCAACAGAATATTTAAACTCTTTTTTCAATTGAAAACATAAACAGAATATCTAAACAAATTGAAAATACAATGTCTTATAAATTACTAGAGGTGCTCGCGGTTTGGTGGTTTGGTTGCGGCCAACTGAACCTCAAATTTGTCATTCGTCCAAAACTAGGCGGATTGGAAAAAATCAATCCACAACCGTCTGCTCATCATCACTCATCCATCCAAAATGCGGCGGATCGGTTTCGGTTTGGTCGGTTTGGTCGGTTTGGACAGATCAGTATATCCACTGCTCATGATGCATCTAAAAAGTAAAAATTTTGATTAAAATATTAAAAAAATTCATTAGAAAAAGAAGGGATATTTACACATAAGTCCTAATTTATGAACTTATACTCCATTAAGTCTTAACTAAGTTTTTTTGAACTTTCAAGTCCCATTAAATCTTTAATAATCGGAATTGCCCTTCAAATAATGATTGTTCATCACTTATGATTATCTATAAAAGAACATGATGATTTGACATTTATTTTGATTTTCAAAATTTTAAAGCATCAACTTTCAAATTGAAAAAAAAAAATTATGTGTAAAAAAAAAAAAATTATGTGCAAAAAAAAAGCTAATTTTTTTTTTGTGCAAAACTGAAAATTTTGTATCTATAAAGGAGTATAATGATGGAACATTGATGTGCAAAACTGGAAAAAAAAATAAAAGCAAAAAAATTGATAATGTTTACAGTTTTAAAATTGAAAAAAAAAAAAACTGCTAATATTCTCGGTTTTGTTGGATAGTTCAATCAGACCAATAAGTGGAAGGGTATAAATGTTTAATCTCATGCTCTATTTTTTTATCAGTTAGTGAAACAATTATTTAGAACATTACTATGTAAAATTGGCAATGGGCTTAGTTTTTAAAAATTGGGAAAAACTAATAATATTCTTAGTTTTACTAAATAGGACTTATTAGTTCAAAAAATCTTAAATAAGACCTGAGTTACCATAACATTTGTAAATATGATTTTTAGGTAATTAACTCAAAAAAGAACACGAAAAACAAAAAGGAAAAGTCTACAATGTACACCCACAAAAACAACAATGCTAGTGATAGTTGATCATATCAAAACATGTGAGTGTGTTGGTAAAGATTGTTAGTAAATGTGTTAGTATCCTTAGTATTTTTCTCCACAAAAAAGAGAAAAAATATAACACCACTCATAAAAAATATAAATTTCAAAAAATATTATAAATTTTGTGTAAAAGGACACAAAAATCGTAAATTCTCTCACAAAATGTATAACATATCTCAAAAAAAGTATGACATTCAAATTTTCACAACTTTTTTTTCGAAGAAGTTCGAAGATACAAAATCATAACTTCGCTCACAATGTATGACATCACTCACAAAAAGTATTACATTTAAATATTCACAACTATTATTCAAAGACACAAAAATCGTAACTTTCGCTCACAAAATGTATAATACCGTTGACAAAAAATAACATTCAAATTTTACAACTTTTATTTGAAGACACAAAAATCGTAATTTCACTCAAAAAATGTATAACACCACTCACAAAAAATATAACATTCAAATTTTTTTGGAACTTTTCTTCAAAGACACAAAAAAATGGTAATTTTGCTCACAAAAAGTATTAAAATTAAATTTTACATAATTTTTTTTCGAAGACATAAAAAATCGTAATTTCGCTCACAAAATGTATAACAACCCTTAAAAAAAGTATAACATTAAGGTGCACATGATGTGCAACTTTAAGTGTGTGCAAATGGTAACCGGACCAAAACAAAAAACTTGATTTTCAAAAAATTTGAGTTCAAAAACTAAAACCAAACAAAGTGACATTTCTATTGCATCAAAACTAGATGAGCTCATTCTTTTTTAGAGTGGTGTAAATATTCATTTGTGTTTTCTGCGGACAATCACTACAAGAAATGGAACTTTTGGCAACTAAATTTTTAGTCTCCAAAAGTCATTTTTTGTCGCCAAAACTTTTTAGCGACTAAATTGTTTGGTTGCCAAATTAGTCGTTGAATAATTGTCGAGAAAGGTATTTGTCGACTAAAAAAGTTTTAGTTG